CGGGTTAGCTTAAAGAAATTATCAGAAATATATTACTGTGGTGCAGTATGATATACTACTACAACAATTATTACAACGTTTGTTTAAAAGAATAATCACACAATACGCTATTTCTTCCATGTTTTAATTTTAATAGTAAACCCCTTTGTTTGCCAAAAATAGAGTTTAACTCTCAAAAAGATAAATGAAATTAATGTTTTATCCCAGATAGCATAGGTACGTCTGCAAGACGTCTGTTAAAGATCTTTTCATCTGGAAAGCATCTGCTGTGTACAAACATCTGATAGACGTCTTTAAGATGTCAGTTTTACATTCATTCTAAATCATAAACATCTTAAAGACATCTTCTAAAAGTCTATTTGACGTCTGATAGGAAACGTCCTATAGACGTATTGCAGATGAGCAAACACTCTAAAAAATACGTCTTGCAGATGTAAACGACATCAAATAGACGTCTCTGTGATGGATGTGTGCTATCAGGGATGCCTTCATTTGCACTGCACTGTAAATTAAAACTAATGGAAATTACTGTCACATAGGCCAAGATTAAGAGACTGTCACGTAGGCTAAGATTAGGATGACAAAAATATTTGACATTTCAATAGGCTTTTGAACCAAGTTTGCCTAAAATAGGCTATTAGTGTTATAGTTCCATTAAAATAGTTGCGGTCTTCTTAACAACTTCTACAATGGAGCTATGAAGACAATTAAATTATTTACACTTATTATTTACATTGTGCTTCTTTAAGTTAATCAATTGATGTGCATTAGATGATGAATTGAACAGTCACCTCTTGTAGGTTATGATTTAGTCATCAGAAAAGAATCAATGAAGAATTATGAGAGGTTATGCTATTACACATACATTTCTAACATGTAAATTATTGAAGCCAAATACTTACATTTCCCCTTTAACTCTCTACCCTTATTTAGGGCTGGGCGATAATTCGATAACGATAATTATCGCGATATAATTTTCCTAATTTTCCTCATATGAAGAGTTCGATAAATGTTCGATATAATGTTTATGTGCCAAAAGCGGAATGAAACAGCGCGACTCATTTGAATCGCCCCACACGGACCGTTTATCCGCTCGGATCAAAGTTCAAACTGCCGCGCATCGCAAGCTCACTAGAGCAGATGTGTTTACTCGGTCACGCGAGCACTAAACAGCGCTGTGAGATCCAGTGTGAAGTGCTTGTATTCAGCGATGAACACAAATGACTCTGTGATTTAAACTAGTTTAAAGCCAAACAGGAGAAACACTGTGCAACAAGACAGTCAGAAGGCTTTTCAATCTACACGTCGCCATCATTTACCATGGATTTACTGTAGTAACACTCACTGCACCATGGTATTGTGGC